GCATCATTAACACCTCTTGCACCCATCATCCCGTCCTCTCCTTTGTCTTCCTTGCCCTGCCTTCCTCCTTTCTGTTAGCCCTTAAAAGCCTCTCCCTCCTAACATGCCCTGGTTCTGACGAAGGGTCATGGAACAAAAATGTTGACTCACTTTCCTTTCTCCACAGATGCTGCCTGACCTGCTGAGTATTCCCAGCAACTTCTATTTTTGTTTTCTGATTTCAGCATCTGCAGTATTTTGTGTTTTGTATGTCCTCTTGCAGTCTGCTACTATCCTCCTCACCGTTCACTATGTTTCCTAGCTTAGTGTCATCTGCAAACTTGGAAATTGTACTCCTGGTACCATCCTGGTAAATCTCCCTTGCACCTTCTCCAATGCCTTGACATCCTTCCTAAAGTGTGGTGCCCAGAACTGAACACAATACTCTAGTTGAGGCCTAACCAGTGTTTTATAAAAGTTCATCATAACTTCCTGACTTTTGTATTCTATGCCCTTATTCATATAGTATCCCATATGCTTTTTTAACAGCTTTATCTACCTGTCCTGCCACCTTCAAAGATTTTCTTATATGACCCCCAGGTCTCTCTGTTCCTTCACCCCCTTTAAGATTGTACCATCGGCTTATATTGTCTCTCCTCATTCTTCCTTCCAAAATGCATCACTTTGCATTTCTTCACATTAAATTTCATCTGCCACGTGTCTGCCCATTATACCAGTCTGTCTATGTCTTCCTGCAGTCTGTTACTATCCTCCTCACCATTTACTACTTTTCCTAACTTAGTATCATCTGCAAACTTGGAAATTGTATTCCCTATACCCAAGTCCAGGTCATTTATATCAGATGGTGTATCAATATGTGGATTCTGAACACAAAACAAATGTTTTAAGAACAGGTGGGTATGGGTGGGGGTGGGGTGTTTACATAGCATTTGTAGTTTCGAGAAATTGAAAGTCACATTTCATACTGTTGGAACATTTACAGTTATAGCCACAGTTATTCAGAGCACATGGTTTGTGTTTACATTGTTTTCATTTCATTTAGTGAATGTTGACAAGTTTTGTAAGCATGTCACCACATAAGGTGTTGTCATTACGTGAGAGAGTGAACTTGATCAAGAACTGAGGGCAAAAGTCATAGACAGTTAGCTGTGATCTATGGCACTGGCAGAACACAAGTTGGATGCATTCTCAAATGGAAGGCTGAATACTTGACAGCTATTGAAGATAATAAACATCCCAATAGAAAACAGTGTGTTTGAATAGTGTGTAAGAGGACATTGATAAACTGACATGGGAGTGCTTCCAGCGGGCCCGTAGCCTATGTCTGGCTCTATCATACAGGAGAAAGCACTCAGCTTTGCAGCATCACTTGTCAAGACTGGCTTCAGGGCATCAAAAGGCTGGCTTGGCCGTTTCAAGTCCAACCACAACATTGGGTCTGCAATTGTGTCTGGTGAAAAGGGTGACATTGAGCCTGCTAGTGTTGACAACTGGAAGGAGAAACTCCCTGAGATTACAACTGGCTATGAACCCAAGGACATCTTTAACATGGATGAATCTGATGCTGTTTTCAGGGCTCTTCCTGACAGGAGCCTTTCAGTTCATGGTGGTGGCTGCACTGGTGGGAAGAAATCCAAAGACCGCATCACCATGTCTTTGACAGATAACATGAACGGGAATTTTGTGATAGGGAAGGCTACCAAGCCTCATGCCTTTAGGAACTTGAACATCAAGACTCAGCTTCCTGTCACATGGTAGAGCAACAAAAAAGGCATGGATGACCAGTACCATTTTTGCAGAGTGGCTTCAGACCTTCAATGGAAAGATGCGGGCACAGGGCAGGCATGTGTCGCTGTTTCTGGACAATGCCCAAGCTCACCCTTACAGCATTTATATTCTAACTAATGTCATGTTAGTGTTTTTCCTAGCTAACACCACATCTATCCTCCAGCCCCTTGACCAAGGCATCATCCAGAATGTCAAGATGCACTACAGGAGGAATTTTCTACGCATGGTTCTTGGGAGAGATGGCCAAAGGTGTGAGGACGTCACAAGTCGACAAATCCATCAATATTTTTCATGCAGTCACCTGGATTAATTCAGCAGTCAACAAGGTGTGTGGATCAACAGTGCAGAAGTGCTTTGCTTTAGTGTGGATGAGCCTGTGGAGGAAGACCTTGATGATGTGCCACTTGCCCAGTTGTTGTCTCTGGCCCGTCAGTGCCTGTCACAGGACACCCGTATCGTCACTGCCGAGGAGTACGCAGTCATTGACAATGATAAGCCCTCCACTGAGGACTTGAATGGAGGATGGAAGGAGCGTCTAGTGGAGGAGTTTCTTCGAGGGACCAGGAACACCGAGGCACAGGACACACAGGAGAAGGAACAGGAAGAGCAAGCTACAACTTCAAAGAGCCCTCTCACTTATGTGGATGCACTGGGTATGTTGGGACAAGTGAAGGACTTTTGCCTTGATCATGGACTCAACGTGTGGCAGACTTTGGCTGATGCTGAGGGTCAGCTGCAGGCCAAGGCAGGTGAAATCAGCAGCCAGGCAACAACGCTGGACTCTTTCTTCAAGAGGTGAACATTTTGTGTGATTTTAACTTCCCATGTGAACTTTAAATAATGAAACCTAAGATCTGTTTTAAATGTAACAATGTCTTTATTTTAACGAGATTGCAAAGTATGGCTGTTAAATGTTCATCACCCTTACCCATTACCAATGCCCTTAACATTATATCAGTGACCTGAATCACCCGATGTATTTCAGCAATCAGGTCACCTCACTAAGTAGGTCACTCTTACCCAGTCACTTGAGTGACCTGATTAGTGAGGTTCCACTGTATTTACAGCATTATCCGTCCATAAGGAAGCGAGAAATGATTATGAAACTTGCTGTAGCTGAAAGCCAGGAAATTAAGGGGACAGATTCACGACCATTCCAAGTAACCGACTGAATTTCTATTGATTAATCTATCAAAAGTAATTTTACATTCATTCAGCTTTTTCTTCCTCAATTACACCCAAGTCCGCTAACAGGACTTATAATAATAATATAACTTTATCCATAACAACAAAGAATGGGGGTGAGAAAAAGGTTTACACTAACATTCACTGAAACCCTAAAGTCCCTAAGGCAAAATCTTCACTATTCAATCTTGACTTTATTATCAAAATCTTTTGAAAATTGAATATTCTGTTTCTACAGTCCTGTAGCTCAGTGGTTAGAGCACTCGCTTTGCAAGTGAGAGACCTGAGTTCAATTCCAGGCAGGGCAAAACCTTGGGCAAGTTTCCTTACTCCACACGCCTAATAATAATCCCTCCAAAAACCAAAAACAATAATAAAATTGGTCATTTTCAATCTACGACTGTTTGTGGGACATTGCTGTGCGCAATTGGTTGCCGCGTTCGCCCACAAATATACAGTCAATTCACTTTACAGTGTGTTCTGTGAAGCGCTTCCCGACGTGAAAAGCGCTATATCAAATGCAAGGATTATTATTATTATTAGTCTCCTCCATTCCCCATTCCAACTATTTATAATCCTTTGGGTAAAGAAATAGTTCCTAGTATCTGACCTAAAATTATCCTTCATATCCTTCATTGGTGAGTGTAGATCTGTTTGAATATAGTGTTGTATATATGTATGATTTCATACATAACTTGCTGTTCAGGGACTCTGTACTCAAATAATCTTGGTTAGAAATTCCAGGATTAATTTCTGGTAGATCTTCATTATAACTAATACCTAATTTGAGCTATTATGGTGGATTAAAAACCTTCTGTTTCCTACTTAATCGATTTGCATCTTGAACTCTATGAGCTTCACGTGGCCATGCGTTGTGAACCAAATAGATTTCCTTGTGAATGCCCCAATAAGCATCATTTTGATCACTTCCTGCCTTTCCTCCATCAAGACCCTCCTCTTCAACTGTGCCTTCGATTACCCTCCTTCCCCCCCTGCCCTCCACCCTCCCTGATCCCGACCCCCAGCTTGGGTCCAAAACACTGCTTGTCCAGCGCCTTGGGATGTCCTCCCGATGTGAAAAGCCCTATACAAATGTAATTTTGTTGTTGTTTTCCTACGAAAATGTCAGTTTTGCGCCTGTTGACTTTCTCCATTGTTAAAACAATTGTCTAACAAAATCTATGCAACCTATTTTAAAATTGCTTCCCATCCAGATTTTAAACAAGTGATATATACTACATCACTGTGAATTACTACAAAGTGAGTTCAAATTGTTTGAAAGCCCTCCATGGCCTCGCCCCACCCTACCTCTGCAACCTCCTAACCCCCTACCAACCTGCCCATCCCTCCGCTCAGCTGGCTCTGGCCTGCTCCACGTCCCCCGACCCACCCGCCTCATCATTGAGAGCCTTCAACCACTCTGCCCCCAACCTCTGGAATTCCATCACCCAGTCACTCCGCCTCGCCCCCTCTTTATCCTCCTTCAAGTCCCGCCTCAAGACCCTACTCTTCAACCATGCCATCGGCCACCCCCTTCCCCTCCCCTCCCTCCCCCCCCCCACCCACCGACCCCAGCTCAGGTCTGAAATGCTGTACTCTGGTCCAGCGCCTTGAGACGTCCCCCCGAATTGAAAGGCGCTACACAAATGTAATCTTGTTGTTGTTGTTGAAGAATTACAATAATATAATAATCCTTGCATTTGATATAGCGCCTTATCACGCCTTATCACAAATTCCCCTATACATGCGTTAGTGTCGACCTACTTTTGCTCAGTAGTATTACCACCGTTCTCGGAGTAACTACAATATCAGATGGTTTGTGTTTTCAGTCCCCATGACAATGCCTCAACACACCATTCTTTGAGGACCAACAAATAAATTTGCTTAATTTCTTGACGCCAACCCACTATGTAATTTTTCTGCTGCAGGAGATACCCCATACAATTAATGGAAACTTTTTGGGGTTCAATTTAAAATTGTCTAGTATATCTAAAAGCGTTAGGAAGGTTCTTTACAGTCATACTTACAACAATTCTGTGGAGAAGTCTTGTCCCATTGGCACACAGAGCTGCAGGAGCAGAAACCGTTGGATGAGTCCAACTGAAATTTAAAAAAATCCAGAAATTAGTTATTTTTACTCCTCTATTCATAAATGACTTGTGCGTGCAATATTTAAACACGACAATATCTAATAATGCCATCAAGCGTACTGGGAAGGGAAATAATATAAGGAGCAATAAAGTTCAAGAAGATCTGGTAAGATTGATTCTAAAGTAGATGAATGTTTTTGGATTGGGCCATGGGTTCTGCAATGTCCACCTGAACAGGCAGACGGGATCTTGGTTTCATGTTTCATCTGAGAGATGGTACCTCAAACAAAGCAGCACTGGACTGGCGTGCCAGCCTAGACTGAGTTCAAAAACTCTTGAGATCTGATGTTATATCAAGTTAGGGTAAGCTCCACAATCACATTGCCATTCGAAAATGAATGTACCTGCCCCACTCCAAAGTCAACAGAGTTTCAAATTGCAGGAGATCAGAAATCACCTGAACGACTTAAACAATGGGACATACAGTGCATATAATAATAATAATAATAATCCTTGCATTTGATATAGCGCTTTTCATGTCTTCCAGACGTCTCAAAGAGCTTCACAGAATATACTGTAAAGTGAATTGACTGTATATTTGTGGGTGAACGCGGCAGCCAATTGCGCACAGCAGTGTCCACAAACAGTCGTAGATTGAAAATGACCAATTTATTACTGTTTTGTTTTGGAGGGATTATTATTAGGCGTGTGGAGTAAGGAAACTTGCCCAAGGTTTCGCCCTGCCTGGAATTGAACTCAGGTCTCTCGCTTGCAAAGCGAGTGCTCTAACCACTGAGCTACAGGACTCCACAATATACAGGATATAGGATGTTCTAGTATATTCTAAATTTAAAAATAAACTAAACTCTTGTAATCATGGGACCCATGAATACAAACACCAATAATACGACTAATTGATTCACCGTAATTAACATACAGTCAGACCAAGGTTGAATCAAAAGGAACATTATTCTATTTAAGGTCTCCCAATTGCATCTAATTACTGAGTCACAGATATTTGAACCATTGCTTATTTTTTAATATAAAAAGTACATTAATAGGAGAACTTATTAACAGGAATCAAGCTGTTATGCCTTTTAGATTTTTCATATTTTTCATAAAAAGTCACATGAGTTAAGGACCAATTTATAGCAAATATGGCATTATATTGATGTCAAAAACCCTCAAAATGCTTCACAAATGGTAATTACTGTCAAGTATAACAATTGTAGGCAAAAGGTGTAGTTTCTATGTGTACCCAAACATTTACGATTAGAATTTGTATAGCCTTTTTTAAATGAAGCAAGATTCTTTTTCTTTGTACAACCAAATGTCAGGTTAGAAATGCTGTACTTTTGATTCACTACTATTCCATTTAAAGCTGTATTCTTGGGGCAGAACCCATAACATATATAACAATATCTGGCCTAACCAGGGCTTGCAGTTCATTGAAACCATGGCTTTCATATATTGGACATTATTCAATGATTGAATAAAAAGTTTTACTTTTTTCCCTATTCATTGAGACCATGCACGTGGACACAAATAAATACTAGGACTAGAATGTGACTGAGTTTTCCAAGCGGTTAAGAAAACAAGAGGAAAATAACTAATTCAATGATTTAATCTGCTGCTGCACTTTTACCCTTTTCTTATTCCTCACCACACCTAATTTACCTGGCAAAGTAAAACCATAATTCATACACACTGGAAAAACAAGACAGTTGTGTGTCATTTCAGCAGACTCGAGCTCTGCTATCAGAGTCTAACCAATTTTCACTTTAGCTCTTTCAACCTTCATTTTGTATATTTGAAATTGCAGAGGGTAGGAGAAAAGAAAAGGTCAGACAAAAACAACTTTTATACAATGACTAAAGTGGATTCTGATAACACTTGCAGCTAAAAAAAACTTCATAATCTACTATGCATTTTTTTTAGTAGTCTCTTGCATATTCTTGAATATGCTATCAAGCAACTACGTTATCAAGCAACTATCAAGCAACCCAAAGTCAGGCTGTTAGCTAACACTACCAAGGTTCACCAAGCAGCTCTCGGCAATTGTTCATGCAAACCTAAACTATAATGCTACATTGCTGCATAAAATCACACAATATGCTTTGTGGAATCTTGTTTGCATGTTTAATTACAACCCATCAATATTTGTAGGGTCAGGGTGGAATGTCTGAATTCTCCTTTCTTAAAATCATTAATCAAGAGGATAAATTAGAGAGCTCATGACAATGCAGTTTAGGGGAAAAAATACAATCAACGGCCTGAATGTGCAAAGGACTCAGTAATATGCCTTTGATTTCTGACACCCATCATTCAACTGCATGTTGAACACATAGCGAGTTGTTCGGATCTGGACTGCATTGCCTGAAAGAGTGAATCATAGAAGCATAGAATCGTTCAGCACAAAAAGAGGCCATTCGGCCCATCGAGTCTGTGCCAGCTCTTTGAAAAGAGCAATGTAATGTCAATCACACTCCCCAGCCCTTTCCCCATAATCCTGCAAATCCGTCCTCCTCAAATACCTATCCACCGCGTCTTTAAAAGTTATCGAATCGGCCTCGACCACCCTTTCAGGCAATGCGTTCCAGATTCGAACAACTCGCTGCGTGAAAAAATTTCTTCTCACCTCCCCTCTGTTTTTTTTAAGAGACTATTTTAAATCTGTGACCTCGAGTCACCGACACACCCACCAGTGGAAACAGTTTTTCCCTTTGTAACCTATCAAATCCCCTCATAATTTTGAAGACCTCTATTAGGTCTCCTCGTAACCTTCTCTGCTCCAATGAGAATAATCCTATCCTCTCTAGCCTTTCCTCATAATGGTGGTGGAAGCCGATTCAATAACAACTTTTAAGAGAGAAGTAGATCATTATTTGGGGAGGACAAGTTTGCAGGGCTATGGGGAGAAAGCGGGGGAGTGGGATTGAATTGGATAGCTCTTTTCAAAGAGCCGGCACAGACACGATGGGCCGAATAGCCTCCTTCTGTGCTCTATAATTCTACGATTCTATGATTCTATGATTTGTGAATAGTCTACTGTTCAGAACATTTAAAAATAATCCATCAATTACATACATATAGAAATAGCAATTTCACAAAAACCTTGTATTACAATACCTCACTATTCGTGTTAAGATGAAATCTGACTTGAAAGCTGTGGGACTTTGTTCTGAGACTAGTGTGGAACTGTAAAAAACTGCAGTAGCTAAAACTCCCAACAGGATTTAACAAGAATTCCTCACAAGGGCTTGATGCACCTATGCCTCGTTCCTATGACACTTATAAGTGCTCTCTAGGTTCCATCTCTTTGCTGGACCTGCCAACACCCAGCGGTGACAACAATGATAAAGAGAGGAGGGTCAGCACTCATCCAGCTAAATTACAGAAGGTGTTAAAAGTCCTGGTCCTCTCCACAAGCCTCGTGTCCAGAGGTAGATGCATGTCCTGATGTAAAGACAAGTTTCAAGGAGGTTATTAATTGTATATTAGTGAACTTGGCAATATCAGAGTTAGGTACAATGGGATGCTCTGTTTCAATCCGTTCTGTTTGTGCTGACGCTGAATATCAGTGAATGTAGCGCTTTCTTTAAGGAAGGCTTTTATCCTCACAAAGACCAGTACTTAAGAATAATTTACAGTGACTTTGGTCTCCCACCTTTGTGAACTCAATGAAGTTCTTCTTCAAAGATCCCTTTGTTCATGTGATAGGATAAAATAGCTGTGAAATGAAGCTGAAGGTCTGGTACCTTGATCCTGTGCCAAACAATTAATGTATCCCAGTTTCTTTCAAGCAGAGTCCACATCAGCTATCAATGATCTTGCTGAGAAAGTGGAAAAAGGTTTTGCTGTAAGATTTCTTTAGGAGAAAGATTTCCATGAAACTCGGGTCTCACGATTAACCCTGGTTCTGTCAGAACTAGCCTGGTAGACAATTCTCTGCTTATGTACCAGGCTTGTTCTCACAGAACAAAGCAAACAAATGCATTTGTATTTAAACACACAACAGGAACCATGTGTGAACATTTTTCCTGTTTCACTATTGGTTTGGTGTGCACTCTCAAAATTTATCCAATTCAATTTTTCAGTCCTGCACTGTGGATGGAATTCTTGTCACACAATACCAGCCTGCAGCTTCTGGGGACATTTTGCTTCACCCAAGGAATCCTTGTGAAAGATACCTACAATTAAATAAAGCTATCAACCTGGCTCAGTTGGTAGCACTCTCACTTCTGAGTAAGCTCCAGTCAGGATTTTGAATTTGCATAGACCAGGTTGATACTTCTTTGAAGAGATGGGGTTGTGCTACATTGTAGGAGGTGCTGTCCTTTTGATGACACATTAAACATCATGGCTGTTTGTGGGACACTGCTGTGATCAAATTGGCTGCTGTGTTCACCTACTGTCACTACACTTTACAGTAAATCCCATGAAACACTTTATACTAATAATAATCCTTGCATTTGTTATAGCGCTTTTCACGTCAGGAGGACGTCCCAAAGCGCTTCACAGAACACACTGTAAAGTGAATTGACTGCATATTTGTGGGTGAACGCGGCAGCCAATTGCGCACAGCAATGTCCCACAAACAATCGTATTGAAAATGACCAATTTATTATTGGTTTTTTGGTTTTTTTTTTGAGGGATTATTATTAGGCGTGTGGAGTAAGGAAACTTGCCCAAGGTTTCGCCCTGTTTGGAATTGAACTCAGGTCTCTCACTTGCAAAGTGAGTGCTCTAACCACTGAGCTACAGGACTCTTTGGGGTGTCCTCCCGCTATGAAAGGTGTGGGATTAAATGCAAGGATTATTATTATTTAAATGATGTTTCTCCCGAAATAGTCTGATTTACAGGATGTATTCCATCTCCCACTGCAAGTCATCAATCAACGTTTCCATTTTCAGCAGAATTTTAAGAAATATATTTTGTAATAAAATTGTATTTCCAGAATATAAATGATTTCCTAACATTTCCACTAAAACTTGCCTTGAGTGACAAAT